CACGTGGGTCTTATCGGACGGTCACGCGGTGAAGCAGCAACTCAGACACGTGTCGTGTAGTGATTCGATATATCAAATAAGTCGATAGCGTATAATAACGGACGATGCGCGGCCGCGAGTTTGGCGCGCAGCCAGAAGTCGGTGCGCAGTCGTGCCGTTACAGTGCCGGCATAGTTGACGTCAGCAGTGACGTCACTGCGCTGGTCTGCTGCGGGACGGAGGCTTCACAGGAGCCTTTGAAAGCGGTGCCCAACGACGATCGGAAGGTGGGTCGCGTTAAAGAGACTGAGCTTTCTTGAAAGGGTGGAGACGGACGCAAGATCCACCGGCTTTTGAGGGTTGATTCCTCATGCCGACCAGGAAGATTAGTACGGCAATTGAAATCTTGAGGTGACATTTCTCACGGCTTAGAGAAGCACAAAAGTGAAGCGCACAATGATTTTCCGCTCCGCTCCGCCTCTATGGCTTAATGGAGCAATGACCCAAGCCTAGAGGAGACTCACAACGAATGCTTGCACTTTGCAACGGGAAAGCGTCCTTGGAGGAAACTCCGCGATGTGTTGGATCAGTGGGCTGCAAAGCCTTTCTGGCTGCCACTTCTCGTGTTGGTTGCAGCTGCTCTATAGAGACCCTTAAGTCTGGACGGTCAACGGAAGGGAAACGCTGACTTCACCCACTTCTTCTTTCAGGGAACTGAGGAGCGATCGATTCGCTTGTCAATGTAAGAAGTAGGAAGTGGCCATGATTGATTACGGGGAAGCCGTCGGGGCTTTTCATTTCTCGATTGAGTCACTTTGATAGTCAACTTGCACATGTTTATGGAGCTAGGAACTTTGGTCAAAGTCGCACGTCATAGCTGATTTTCCAAAAAAGTACTCCTATTTAAGTCGGCCAATAGACGAGTGACAAGCGCTAGGCATCAATGAATTCACCGGTAACGCGTTTTTCTTGGTACGGTAGAGCGCATTCAATAGGAAGCCCATTCCTAGCAAGCGCCCCTGCAAACCATTTGTCTATCCGAACGTTTCAAGGTTTCCAATCCATTGAAATTGAACCACTGTTCCGAAGTCCCGGCCCGGCCGCCCCGACCTGGCTACTGCAAATACATGACGATCTAAGTAAACAGGTCACATGGATATCTTCCGCGGCACGCCAATCAACATAGCGTGTGCTCTTAGCTTTCGTACTGCATGAATGAATCGGGAGTCCGCGATTAAGAAGTTGTTCTCAATTGCCACTATGATCCATTTCACCTGCGCGGCCAGCATCACGAACGATCCAACCATGTCGCGATCGGATTGGAGGCGGGGACCAGGCTGCACTAGCTACCTGAGCTAGGCCATGATATGGCGCCGGTGACGCATGCAGTGCGCAAGGACAATGCATCATTAGTAGTGCATATCGCATACACACAAGGACGCCATGCATGGCCGGGCGGCACGTTATGGCCAGTAGTGTCTGATCAGCGTCTTATGAAACAGTGCATGCGCACTCGATCCGATCGAGTGGATTTTTGGACTCAATGATCAGATTGTACGTGAATCATTATGCATTGTTAAATCATTGCAATCATGTGCGCAGGACGTACGTACGTATATGCCACTGAGGGCCCGGCCAGCTCAGTGAGCACGCCGGATGTTGATCGGAACTTATGGCACACGTGACCGACGGTCCTAGCCCCCGGCGTAGTAGCCTGTCCAATCAACGGCGTCGACTCCACATATTTCATTGCAATAACATGCGAGCAAGGCTCACTGAGTAGGCCAGCTTATAGGAGAGCTGCATGACATGGCACGTACTCGGGGATAGACTTTGGCCCACATGCCATGGCCAGACAGAGAGTTCCAAAATTTGAGTGCGACCGGCCAACTTGAGTTTTGACTCGATCTATCAAACGTGCTGATCATGTCAGAAACGCACTCTCAGTTGACATATGAAAATTCGAATCAAAAGCCTCCAACCGCCGCTGCCAGAGTGCTCGAAACCTGGCAGCAGGATCGTGACCTGATGGAACGTTAACTCAGGGCTTCTTCTGTCGTGGTATCTTCAATCCGCCGTTTTCTGTCAAGTGGGAATCTGGAAAGATCCAGTTGAAGGACCCGAAAATTTTAGAGGCCAATGATCATAGAAATGCTGAAACTTGTCTCAGGCTCTGAATTTTCGATATATACCTATCGGTTGTGTACACGTGCTCCCGCTATGCGCGCAGCCTACGACAATGGTCCAGCGGATTCGTCATAACTCAACAAGAATATATACAACCGCTTGGAAGCGGGCGTCACCAGAAGCCCAGGTTACGTGATCGGATCCGCTGCTGACGCCGTCGCAGCGCCAGCTTGGTCATGGCTCCGGTGCTCCTTTGCGAGACAGCTTCACCGGGCCACCTATAGAAAAAAGCAACAGACATTGGGTGCCATTGAAGGAGACAATCTGGCCAAAAAAGGACACCCGGCGAAGCGATTGTAAAGGCGTAAGTGTCCGCTTAAGCGCTGATGAGGATCCTGCATTTCGAGACTGAATCTCCTGGTGAAGGTACCCACGTGCCGCCGACGACGAGAGATTTAGCTAGGCTTGAGGTCGATGCGATCTCTCCATTGATGGCATCAGCTATGAAAGATAGAAGCATGTTCAAGTGCGATTCAGTGGCAATTTTGTGTCGCTTCGCACGGAGGTCGAAGGAAGACTGGCTGCTTGTGCGGAACACTCCCTGACATGCACGCCTCTTTTCACCGAGGGTCGTGACCCACCAACAAGAGAAACCTTCAGGCAGACGGTTTTAGCTGTTAGTTGTGCTTCGTCAAAGTACCTTTGTTGGATACAAGAAAGCACGGCACAGAATGGAGTCGGCTAAAAGTCGGCCGCCGTCGTTCTTCATCTCCAGCCTTGCTAGTTTTAGGTGAATGTCGGAGGACACTCCTTTCATGAGGGGAAAACCTTTCCCAACGGCATCCTTGAAGGAACTTCTGGACATCCCAGTTCAACGAAGACGAGTACTAGTCTGTGTAATTCAACAGAAGTAGACCCGACGTTGAGAAGCGTGGCAGGACTCTCGAACCGACTCACCATGCGGTGTCTCATCCTCCAGTATTGCCGCCACCCGAACGACCTTCTCTCCTTCAGCTCGAATCCAAATCCCGCGTATGCCCCGCCGCGTTTACCCGGGACGAGCTCTTGCCACGTGTCCTATCTAGGGAACCCCCGCGGCCGGCCAACCCCCGCCTTCAGCTCCATTCCAAGCCCGCGTACGCTCGCCACGTGTCCTATCTAGGGAACCCCCGCGGCCGGCCAACCCCCGCCTTCAGCTCCATTCCAAGCCCGCGTACGCTCCCCCTCGACCGCCCAGGACGAGCTCTCGCCACGTCCTCTATCCAGGATCTCTCTTGGCCGACAATCCTCCGCCTTCAGCTCCATTCCAAGCCCGCGTACGCTCCCCCTCGTCCACCCAGGACGAGCTCTTGCCACGTGGCGCCCCAGGACAACCACCCCCCGCCTTCAGCTCCTGTCCAAGCCCCCGGCACGCCCCAGCTCGTCCACTGGAGACGAGCTATTGCCACGGATCCTATCAAGGGATCTCCCCTTGCCGACCACCCACGGCGCGTCAAGAGCGAAGACCGCTCCGCCCTGTCAAGCTGCTCTCCGGTCCCGCTTTCTGCAGTCACCCCGTGCCCCCTGGTTGTCGTCGGCAGTCGACCAGCCTAGCGCTGACGTGGCTGCTGACGTCAGCTCGTCCGAGACCAATTTCTCCGACCGCCCCACCGACCGAACTTCGCCCGATGTCCCTGCCAATTTGCGGTCTGGAGAGGTCTTCAACCGTTCTGCTGGTGGAGCGCGCAGCTAACGCACTACTCGGAGCGCCGAGTGGCGCCCATCGACGTCACTCGCCCCCTCCGTATCCCCCTCTAGAAGCCCCTCCCCACAACTTATTCGAGCCCCCCCCCCTCGCGAAGCCCCTCTCCTTCTTCCTCGCCAAACCCCTCGACTTCCCCCTCCCCGTCACGAAGTCCCTTCCCTTCCCCTTCCGCAATCTGTCGCGCTCACTTGGCGTATGAGCCGCCAGGCCTGACGCATGCCTCCAGGCTCCGGCGCGTAGCTGACCGCGAACAGCTCCGCTGCTGTTGTGCACAGGAACGGGCCTGTAAGATCGGAACGAATCAGCTGACGGTATTCAAGACCATATGACCAACCGACGCTCGTGTTACGGAGTTTTGGGTAGAACGGGAGAAGTTCGTGCGGACTGATCTGGACATGCAGAAGTGAAACCGATACGAGAACTTGAAGGCTTGGGGAAACATCAAATTCTGTGAAACGGTTGCAGTTTCTAGCTGACAAGCGGGTGAGGCCCTGGCATACCAACCAATGCGGAACGCCGGCAATCCCGAAGTTGCGACTGGACACTCAAGATTTATCTTAAGAATCGTAGTCGTAGAGACGAATACACGCAATTTTTTGCTCAGATTCCAAACAAGTACTAATGTTTCTAGCTACTTGCTCTTGATGCGCTACGTGACGCTGGGAGACGACAAGAATCTGGGAAAGCAGCGAATCATGAGCCGGCCCCAGAATACCTCCGGCCCCCAATAGACAGTCATATTGGATCTGATCGACACAAGATTCTTACCCGTGCATAGTCGACGTCAACTGTTTGGATGACGTGGAGCCAGGTGGCGTCGGGGGGGCAGGTCCTTCTCGCATGTGCAGGCCGCGAGCTGTCGGGGCGACGCTCTGAACGAGACGAATGGAATAAGAACATGAGGAAACCATCGGAAGTCGTTCTGAAGCGGAAAGGACACTGAATCGAACGTCAGACAGGCAGGAATTACCAACAACAGTGGACAACGGCCAGAATGTGATTTGCGATGCATACCCCCCGTTTCTGGCACGTGGAGGACAACGGTACGAGGTCCGTAGAAAACGACGTGATCCGACAGCCTGTACCTTCTGAGAATCAGTCGCTCGCCGACCCAGCCATGCAATTTGACAGTCGAAAACAAGCTAACGCAAGAAGACTTAGAGACTGCGGTCGTGTGCGAGTTTTGAGTCCGAGACCTCGAGTGATTGTCAAGTTTGATCAGCCCCTAAAAGTCCTGAGGAGCCATTTCGGGGATGCCCTTTTTGCTGCAGCTTTTCATTTCAAGCCTGCAAACCGTTGGAGCATAACAAGAACTGCTTGTGCTTCCGGTCGCACGTCTCGACAAGCACGGTCGCAAACGAAAACGCACGACTTCCACTCACAACCGAAGCGCTCACCACCATTTGCGCCGTTTTCTCTTGAAGGAACTTTCGCTGAGCTTCTGATCGACTGGGGCCTTACCTTCTTCCGCTCTTCCCGACCGGAACTCCGCTCCTCGTCAACCGACGTCCGGCTTTCCCCTCGTTGCGGCTGGCGAGCCTGCGGTAGCCATCTCTGCTGTCCGTGACTCTGCGTCCGCTGCGTGATTGCGCAGTTCCGCTCGTCCGCTGGAAGCGGAATGGACGCACCGAAACCGGTCCTGCCCCCGCTTCGAGCTCCACCACCTGAAGAGAACGTTGGAACCTGTTGAGACGCACTTCGAAACAAGAGCTTAATAATGGACGGATGATATATCCCCGAATCTTCCAAAAGTGTTGGGGCTTAAGCGGACAGACTGGAAATTGATGGGCTTCTTAAGACAGAGGGCGTGAGTTTCCGGCTGAATACAAAAAGGATCTGTAAGCGGGTCTAATCATCGGCCTCTGCTTTTCTTTGGCACAAGTCTTTCTCATGCAAAGACTCCTGCCAAGGTGTCCAGTACGGCCCTTTGTTGAGAATTTCTTCCAGAACGTAGACCGCGTCCTCGATGCAGCTGAGATCTACACGAAACTGAACAAGTGCCTGAAAACTACTCCGTTGGTGCCCTTCCAAGTGATATAAGCCACGTTTTGCTTCCAAGCTGCTCTCGTTGGCACAGCAACAATCACGAAATATCAGCAGTAAGAGCTTACCTTACGATTGATATCCTGTCTATAACGGCACCGGCCCCCTAGGCCGTCGTGAGGAGAGCCCATTCTGGGCGACCTGTACCCCGATCAAGCCCCTCCTGTGGTCGCCTCAATTTCCCCGGGGCCCTCTTTCTCCCGCTGTGGCAGGGCACGTCTCCATGGTCGCGCGTACTCCGGCACCTGGGAGTGTTTGTACTTGATTTGACCGTGAGCTTTGATGTCTACTTTTACATTCAGAAAGCGACACTCAGCCTCTCTCAAACGAAGCTGAATATCTTCGGCACTTTCTGTTAGACGGCTGCGGCTTCCAGCTGACGAGCTTTCTAAAGCTGGGCAATACGCAAATCTGGATTGCCAGCAAACCTTGCAACCGTGGGATACTTGAAACTCTTCTCCAAGGTATCTCGGTCGTCGGCAATAGACGGATTTTCTCTGCTCAAGAATCAACCAGGTACGAAGGAGAGAGAGCTCAAGAGCTCAAGAGCAAAAGCTCTTTGCTCTCCAAGGGCTTCGTGAAGCTGGGAGACGCCAAGAAATTATGAATACAGCGAAGCAAAAGTGGCCCCGCAAACCTCCGGCCCCTATCAGAGAGTCACACTGGATCGATCTTTACATGTTTCTTACCCGTGTGTAGGCGACTGCAACTGATTTGGATGACATGGCCCCACGTGGCGTCGGGAGTGCAGGTCCTTGTCGCATATGCAGGCCGCAAGCTGTTGGGGCGACGCTCTGAAAAGATCAAATGAGAGATATAAAGAAAAAGCATCGGAATGTGTTGTGAGGCAGAACGAACACTAAAGTAAACGGCAGAGATGTAGCGGCGGCAAACAATGGACAACGGCCAGAATATGATTCGCAGTGCATACCCCGCATTCCTGGCATGTGAAGGACAACCGCACGCCGACCAATAAGTAAAAGACGTTATCGGACAACCTGCGCTGATTGAAACTCCATCGCTTGCCATTCCAGCCAGGTAACTGACAGCAGAAAGGAAGCTACACGAGGAACACCCAGTGGTGACTTCCGGCGCATGCGACTTTTGTCCAAGCCCCCGAGTTAATGCTATTTGCGTCAAACTTGGCAAACGAGCTCGAATGGAAACGCGCGTTCCTCGATCACGAGTCGCGATTTCGGTTCTCGATACTCCCCAAAGTACCCCCCTGAAAGGACTCCGGAGTCCGGATGCCAAATCGCTGACCGTCACTAAAGCGGCCAAACTACGCGTAACGTTTTCAGGGGGGATGTCTATCAAGGATCGAGGACCGACTTCGCGACTCAAGATTGAAACCCGCGCGCTTCGACCCAAGTTCGGGTGCCAAGTCTGACGCAAACAGCAGTATTGTCAACTTCGATCAGCCGCCTTGTGTGCTGAGGGCTCATTTCTTGCTGCGGCTTTCGATTCATATCCGCAAAATGCTTAAGCATACCAAGAAGTGCGTGTCCTTCTGGTCGCAGGTCCCGACAAGGAAGGTCGAAACGAGAACGCAAGAAGTCTACGTATAGCCGAAGCCTTGTAACCACATGTCGCACTGTTTTTGCTGCAGAAACAATCATCAACTTGCTGAGCTTCTGATCGACTGAGGCCTCACCTTGGATCCGCTCTTCGTCACCCAAAATTCCGCTCCCGTCAACCGACGTCCGGCCGTCCCCTCGTTGCAACTGGCGAGCCTGCAGTAGACATCTCTCCGTGCCGTGGTTCTGCGTCCGCTGCGTGATTGTGCAGTTCCGCTCGTCCGTTGGAAGCGGAATGGACGCATTGAAACCTGTCCTGCCCCCGCTTCGAGCTCCACCACCTGAAGAGAACGTTGGAAGCTGTTGAGACGCCCTTCGAATCAGAAGCTAATCATACAAGTAATGGACGGATGATACGTCCCGAGATCTTGTGTACTTGTTCAAGCTCAAGCCCGACAGACTGAAAGTTAGTTGTAGATGCTGAAAACAGAGGGCGTGAGTTCCGGCTAACAGTGCAGAAACGGAAACCGTACTTGCTGGCCGACAACCAGATTCATTCCCCAAGATAATGAAGGTCGATGAGAAACGTCGCAGTAAGGGGCAGAAGAACTGGTCGGGTCTATTCGCGGCCTCCGATCTTCCTGACAAAACAGCGGGCCTTTTTATGCAGAAAAGTCTGCCCAGGCTCTGAAAGGACGGCCCTCCGTGGATACATCCTTCCGAACATTTAAGCGCTTACTCAAAGCAAACGCGGTTCCCTTGAGCTGAACAAGTGCCTCCTGAGAACACCTTCGTCGACGCCCTTCGGAGGGCCAAGTTGCGAACCTGCGCAGATACGCTGTTGGCATAGCGACAATTATGAATTGTCAGCAGTTAGAGCTTACCAATCGGCTGGCTTTGTGTCAGTAACAGCACCCGCCCCCCTCAGCCGTCGGGAGCGGAGCCCACTCTAGGCGACTTGTATCCCGAGCCGGCCGCTCCTGTGGTCGCCTTGACTTCCCCGAGGGCCCCCTTTCTCCCGCTGTGGCAGGGCAAGTCTCGGTCGTTGCGCGCACTCCGGCACCTGCAGAAGTATTTGTACTTGAATTAGTTGTGAGCTTTGATGAATGTTTCTAGGATCATGATTCGACTCTCAGCCGCTCTCATCGTTTCGCCTCTTAGGAGCAAGCAAGCGGCACTTGAAGGATCCGAACCCGTCTGGCTCAAAGCTTCGAAGGCAGATGCCCTAAGTGCCAAAAAAACATGACTCAAGCTTTGTCTGCTCCCCGTTCAAGGCTCCAGAATCGATCTGTGCAGAGGCTTCGAGTTGACTTCTCGCTTTGCGAGCAATAAGGACAAAGCAGAGCCTTACCTCGCCTGAGCTAAATTACTCATTGTTGCCCGAGCTGCCACGTGTCCGCTTCTGAGCACTTCTCTTCGGGCAACGTCGCTGCTTTTGTACTGATTGTCCCCATGTTTGTGCCGTTGATCTCGTCCAGTCTTGTTCCCTCCCATCCCCTGACAATGAAAAACATCCGGCTTGTTTCGACTTTGAAGTGAGTGGACAGGCGAACGGTCGGAAAGAGGCGGCTCCGGGGAATCAGTACAATAGCGCCCATTGAAGCGAAGTTTCATATCGAATCAATCTACCTGCAGCGTCGACGCCCCTGAAAGAGAAGTCGTTTTGCGAACCTCTGTCGAGCGTCTTTGGGAGCTCGGGATGGTGATGATTGGAAGAGTGAGCGACTAAAGCAAGGCAGAAACAATCAAGGAGCAGCTTTGACGGCTCTCACACGTTCTTTCGTGATCTGGTGTACAGATAAAGCAGAAGACGGGGGCGGCAAACACAACTTTCGAACAGCGAGCACCACAAGATGCAGACGAAATCAAACACAGGCAGAGTTTGTTCAGAAAAGGCCATGAGTAAGACAACGATCCCAGCAAGACTTCGGTCCACGAAAGCACAACTAGTCTTTCGAAGCTCTTCCGTATTCCGGTAACCAAAGTCTACACCGCAAAGATTATGTACACATCAGTGTCGAACGCACATGTACTTCCTGTCCGCTTGCACCCCCAACCTCGCCAACCCCCTACCGCGCCTTCTTGCTCGGGCCCTCTTCGTCAACTAGGGCCGGCAGCCTTTTCTGCACCCCCCCTAACCCCACTAACCCCGCCCTCCGTTTCGCGCTCCTCGCTGTTCACCCCTGACGGCCCCGCTTCCAGAGTTGGCACGCATTCGACCCCACCCAAAACTTCCGCCCCTCCCACCGTTCTGTCCGCTTCCCCCGGCCCCCCTTCCGCGCCCCCCACCGAGTCCAGGGCCTCCAACGCTTCCGCCGCGCCACGCCACACCATCCCCATGGCCCCGCCGTTCAAATTGGCCACGAGAGCCGCTCGTACGTCCGGGTCGCCCCTCAGAACCGTCCGCACGTCAGGATGGGCGGCCAGATTCAGCAGCAGCGAAACAGCAACTGATGCCCCAGACCCGTTCCCTTCTTTCGCTAGGCGCACCACCCCCGCGAGACACCCCGGCAGGCTCACCATAGCTTTTGCAGATGCCGCTTCCGTTGCAACAGCCGCCAGAACGTCCCCGGCCTGCGCCCGCAACGCCGCGGGCGAGTTGCCACTCAAGCGTGCAACCAAGCGCTCGATGGCCCCGGGGATCTCGGCTGCCGTGCGAACGATCGCTTTGTCAACTCGACTGTCTTTGGCCCATCGATCCAACGCGGAAACTGCCACCAACGGGGCTACCGGATGCTCGATTTCCAGCATAACCGGAAACAGCCCCTTCAGGCACCCCGGCAATCGCACTATCGCGGCCCTGCTCTCAGCATCCAGCGCCAGGTTGCACAGAGTTGCCCCCGCGGCCCCTCGGGTTGGTTCGCTCTCGCCATTCAAAGCGCCCACCAAAACCTCCAGGACGCCAGGAACCCTCGCGACAAGTCTCCTAACCTTTGCACAAGCCGTCAGGCGTACCAAAACTTCCCCCCCGGCTTGCCCCCCGGCCTCCGAGCACCTCGCCGTCTTCTCAAACCAAGCAACCAGCTTCTCCAAGCACCCCGGCAGACCCGCCACGCTTTCTGCGCCTGCCGGCGTCGCAGCCATCCGGTTTAGAATATCCGCTGCAAAGAGCTGTATTGAGAGCAACCGGGCCTCCAACAGACCCACCACCTTTATTGCGAGTTGCCTCCCGTCCAGAAAAAGCCTCCATGCTTCAGGGCTGTTCAAGAGGCATCTGAGCGCCAATTCGACCTCCCGCACCCCGGCTCCTTCCCCCTCTGTCAAACGCTCACCGATCTGTGAAGCACACCAGGAAGGTCGGCAACGGGCTCCCCCAACACACTTAGCAGCGCTGCTGCAGGGGCTTGCTTGAGCTGATGTTCCCCTGCAGGAATGCGACCACTTTTTCCACACACCCAGGAGTGTCCTTGATTGCACGCCTGGGCTCCTCATTCAGCGCCAACTGATGAAGAACCGTCAGGACCGCTTGCCTCACACGCTCGCTTCCGTCTAGCCCCTTGATCAGCTTCGGGACAACCCCAGGAACTTTTGCTAACGCCTGCTGGGCCTGAACATCGGTTACCAGGTCTGACAAGGCAGTCGCCCCCACTTCTTGCAGGTAGGGCGAACGTTCCAGCAGACCAAGGATCCCCTCTAGACAGCCAGGCATGCCCGCAACAAGTTGTTTGTTGTCCATGTTTCTGCACAAGGATCTCAGAAGCTCCCCCAACCGCCGTCTGTAATACCTGAGCTCCCTTCCTGCCTCATTTTCCTCCACAACACTCAAATCAAAAGCTAACTTGGGCAACAAGGTTGGCTCCTTCGCAATGGTCGTCTGGGCGGCTGCTAGTGCTGAAGGACTCTTGATCTCTGTTGCAAAGTGCGTCAAAAGACCGGCTGCGTTCCCCTTTACAGCATCCGCAGGGCACTCCAAGAGCTTGACAAGGTTGGCAACACACCCGGGCAGTCCAGCAAGTTCCTCACCCATCCCCTCGACATGGCTCACCACAAACCCCAGCGTTCTTAGTAAGACCAATTGCAATTGCTGGCTGTTGCTGCCAAGGAGCCCCACAAGGATTCGCATGCTCCCCCCAATCTTTCTCAGAGCCTTGCACGTCTCTTTATTGTCTCTCAAGAGGATATTCAGGGTCTCCGCAGCCTTTTCTGCTGCCTTTGTAGCCACTACCTCACCCGACGTTGCCCCGTCCAAAACCGCTACCAGCCCCTCCAACAGATCCGGCACACCTGCCAACGCCTCCTTATGCAAACTCGCGAGACCCAAAACCAGCATTGCTGCCCTTTGCTTCAGGAGCGCGTTGTCTCCATGAACCATCATGTGCAATTGCTGTTGCACAAATGTCTGAACACTGCTCACCGCAGGCCCCCTCTCCCCGTCCTGTCTGAGGTGCAACAGAATGCTTGCGGCCGTCAACGGCACTGCGACGGCCTTTTGTATGTCCAACTAACTGACCAACTTCTTGAGGAGGACCCCAGAGTTGGCAATTGCCTCCCTGGCCTCAGGCCCCCTGGTCGAGTTATAAAGAACCCGGGCGACGTCCGTTGAGATTGAGGTGACGCCAAGTGCATTTAAAAAATCCCCAAGCATCCATGGCATGCGGCCGACAGTCTCCCCAACCTCGTTGTCCTTTGTCAAGGAGCCCAGCAACTGAGCCGCACCATTCGCTATTGCCTCAGCCTTTGCAACGTCTTGCAAGAAGGCCCCCAGCTGCACCAGCACCCCGGGCACATCGGCAATGAGTCTTCTGTTTTCGGGGTACAGAGCAAGGTTCTGGAGCGCTTTCAGCGTACCTTCCTCTGAATAGAGACCTCCCCATCACAGACAAAGCACACCAGCGTCTCAACACACTGCGGCAGCTTTCCGAGCGCCTTCTGACACGCTGTGTCACACGACAACACTTCCAACAATTCCAGAGCCCCATCCTTGTGCGAGCAACTCTCCAAAAAGCTGCCGCTACGCAGGAAGCCTAGAAGCATTGCAAGACTCCTTGGGACTGTCGCCAATCTGGGGGTCCTGACGTCGAACCCCAGTTCGCCCCTGCCCCATGCATAGAACTTGTTGAGGGGATGGGAGCGCAGAGTGTAAGTCTGGCCATCCATATGGTGAAGCTCCAGGCTCTCTAGCGAAGGAAAGCTTCGAAGGAGAGTACCAAGGTCCCCCAGAAAGGAGAAGCCGAAAAGAGTGAGGGATCGCAGAGCACAGAAGGGCTGGACGGGCCATTGGTCTGATTGAAATGGGATACGCTTGCCAGAAGTCGGGGATGTGGCATGTCACGCCAGATTGGCTCCTTGCCATAGCGTGTCCTGAGCGTGCGCGCGCGCGCATCGCGCCGCCGCCGCCACAGGCTCATAGCCTATGCACGGCCATAGCCTATTCATGTTGGACCCTTCGTTTATTGGGGTCCATGCATTTTGGCCCCTTTGCATTATTCGCATTTAATGCATGG